ATCTCATTTGTTCTGGCTCTGCTTCGCAATATTGTCACTGCAATAGAAAGAAAAGCAAGAGAAATAACAAAATTTCCTCAGTAATCTGATTATAAATGGTGAAATGCTATTTCTCTAATTAGCACTTAGTGCATTTTAGGAGCATAACTTATGCCCAACTGTTATTTTTTGGCATTGAGTTCATTTTCCCCATCCCCTGTTTCGCTCCTGGTTATGCAATATCCCCTGTTCTAACTTTTGAATAATTTTTGGGCTAATCAGCTAATTGATCTCTCCTCTTTTGGTATCTTAGTTCAGCTAGTTTAGATAACCAATTTTCTGTGTCTTTAACATGGATTTATTTATTTATTTATTTTTAAAAAAAGAGAGGAGGTAGACCAACCGAAGAGTTTGAGTGAGAGCAATGGCTCTGGGAAAATCGTTGTTTTGTCGTGCTTTTAGGATTTGAAACATGAGAGCAAGGCGGAAACGCGTGGTGGCACTTTGCTCTGTGATGAGTTTAGTCTCTTGGCGCAACTTTTCGCACTCAATTTCGATGGCTTCAAATTTTTCTCTAACCTGTCTTTGTCCTTCTCTTATGCTTTTCTGTTCTTCCCCAATTTCTTTCATCTCAACACGCAACCTTTTCATGCTTGCCTTCATTTTTCTCATTGCTCTTGCCTTCTATTGCAAAATTTGTAAAGATTCAGATCATATCCAAGGATTTATAGTCTCTTAATACAAGAAGAAGAAGAAGAAAAAAGAATGACCGAATTCTTCGTACCTGACCCTTCGTATGTTGCATTGACTTGGAATGCCTTTTTCCAATAAGTTGGGAAGAAGATGTCTGCCCTAACCGGGGTGCATGCTTATCAGCTCGTTTGATCGCAACTTGCTGCAACCTGAGAAAAGTCATGTTTTCTGGCAGATTGAGTTTTTTTTTTTTGAAACGGGCAGGTTGAGTTTAATCGGCCGGAATCGGTATTTTATAGGCGTGTCACAGGATGTATTAAATATATATATTTTTATAAATATATATAAAAAAATATATAAATTAATATTAATTTTAATATTCAATAAATTTAATTAGGTAGTTAATAAATTAAAATTTAATTTTTATTATTTTAATATAAATTTATAAAAAAAATTTAATATATATTTAATTTCTATCTTTAATATACACAGATTAGACAAACATTTAATAGATAAATAGAAAGAAAACCATTTGTACTCTGTTCTACCTAATTTAAAGACGAAAATCAATGTTAAGCCACCAAATTTATTATGGATGCTTGATAAAATTATTAATTTTTTTATTAAAATAAATAAAATTTTAAATTTAACATTTTATTACTTCTGTAATAAGTATTAAATTTTTTCATAAAATTTAAAAATAAATAAATATTAAGCCTATCACAAAAAAAATTAAATTATCCAAATCAATAAATATAAAAGTTTATTTATTTATTTTTTGGATATGGAGAATGGGAGATTTTCAAGTAAGATCAATTGAATCTAACCACTAAAATTTGAGAATGGACCATTAGCTAAAGAGTGGATTCAAATATAAGAGTTTTTTATGTTTTTGAATTTTTTTTTTTTTGAACAAGGGCAATTTTTTTGGAGGAGGAAAGTGTACCTTTGTCCAAGTGGCTTGTAAGGTCATATCTAAGTTTAAAAGTTGTTTATTTTAATAAAAATTAAAAAAATGCAATTCAATATTTAAGATAATATAAGAATTTAATGTAAAATTTTATTTAATTTAAACTAAATAAAAAATAAATTTTTAATATTAAAAATTATTTTATATTTTATAATTTAATATAATTTAAATTATAAAATAAAATTTTTTTTTATTTAAGTGGCTCAAAGTCTAAGTCTCCTCCTAGGCTCTTCTTTCTATCCAAATGCACTATATTTCAGTTTGTGGGGTCCACCCGGAAAGAAAAATGCTTGGTGGTCCCCACGAAAGATAAATTATTAATTATGACAGGCGTTGAAATGTCAGGAGGAGGAGCAAGGTAATGAGCAAAAGAATACAAAAAATCAATAAATGTCATCAATGTGGGACACGAGGGAATCGATCGCAAGGTTTTGGTCCACTTTCGCGAGTCCAACGAACGGATCGGGCGACATCGGCTGATAGGCGTTCGAATAATTGATGCCTGTCGAACGATGAAGCCTGACAGATTCGTTTCAAAGGTAAGGTATCCGAACTCCGTCATCCACTGATTGGACCGCACTCTTCAATAAAAAAGTGATGGTATTCACCTTTAGTTAAAAATTGAATCTCTAATTTTTAATCAATAATTAACTTAATTTATTAATTATTATCTTTGTAAAAAAAAGGAAAAAAGGTCAGGTATCCGATGCACTACTTTGTCCCACGTTGAGTCCCACATTGGTTGTCAGATGTTTTAATAGTGTTGTATCCATAAAAGCACGTGCAATGGGAAAGGGAGTTTGGCTCCTATGTCTTCTTTAAAAAGAGAACGAGAACAAAGCTTGCTTGCTATTGGAGTATTTTTGAAAACAGAACCGCCCTCTTTGACTGGTTCTGTTGTTCATCTACACGCTGTAAGTATGTCAGTGATCAAAAGTTACAGTGGTTTGTGTTGGAGCTGTCAATTTCAGAACTTGAAATAAAAGGGGTTTTTAAAGTTTAAAAAAGATGTGTTATATCTTACCGACCATGATAGATTATATCACTGTCGGAGACAAGGGCCTGAGGGGACACTAGCCCCTAAATTTTTTAAAAAATAAAAATTTTGATATTTTAAGTTATATTTTTATTATTTGAGTTTTTTCTATTTTATACATTTTAATTAT